ACTTAAAATTAAATTAAAATTATTTACTCTCATAAATGTAAACAATTGGCTAATAATGTTAAATTTTCAAAACAATTTTTCTTATTTTGTTTGGAATAGCAAAACCTAAAAGTGTCTATCTGTAATTTTTATTAAAATTGAGATTTAATTTAAGATATCTGATTTATTTAAGGTATCAGAGTATTGTATGTCTAATTTTTAATTACCGTAATGTCATATAAAGGTGCTAATTTATTATAGAAAGCAATATCAGGCGGCACAATTACATAGCGAAAGGTGTATTACAAGTCATACAAATTATTCCATTCAGCAAATTCTTAAAAAAGTTATAAACAAATCAAGGCTAATTCGATTCTACCTACTTACCAGTTTCCTAAAGGACAATAATAAGCATTTGATCCAATAAAATGATTGAAACGTCACTTAAAAACTAAACTAAACGCTATTGCACTGATTTACGATAAAAATAAATAACGAAAAAATAATTATTAAAAGCGGAAAATGAAAATTGTTCAATCTACACAAGCATAATCGAAAACGAACTGTTCGACTTGACAATCGACGTACAAACAGCAACATAAGCTGTTCAACAACAAAGATGGAAGAAAATGAAAACGGAAAACGTAAAGGACGGACCAATATCTGGTTGAAAGAGAATGAGAGAGAAAGACATAGAACCAGTTTGAGAATTCAATTAATAGAGAGCTTCTATCCAAGAGCAAAACAGTGCAAATACCGTGTCCAACGAAAAGATCCTTGACAGTGATAGATGTGTGATGTGTCTGTCATTTTAATTTCAAACTAGTTTATTTTATTTTACAAAGAAATAAGTTGGTACAATTGGAACGCATAGCAGAAAATTAGTATATTTATTATAAACCTGAAAAAATCTAATCCAGTTATTTGTTTATTTAAATATTAAATCTAATCCAATTTTATTAAAAAACAAACACTGAATTTTATACCTTAAAAATTGGTTACTTAACTTTAATCTTAATTTTTTTAAACCAGTACCTTTTGACATTATCTCTCTGAAGTACCTACTAAAATTTATTAATTACCTATCGTGTGATGTTATTTTACAAATACTCCAGTTTTTGGTAATGTATACTGTCATAGTGACAAAATGTCATAATAACGGTCAAGTTGGCCTTAGTTCAATTTATCGACGTACCAAATTTCATTTAAATCGGACGATTTTTTTCCAAGTGTGTTATGTGTCGTGTCACGGCCTTGAACTTTTACTCCCAGGGTGCGTAAAGAAGTTTCACTCAAAAAGCAATGATAAAATAATTGAAAAAATTGCAAATTGTTGGTAGCAAGTTCATTTGCTCTTAAAATTAATTCAAGGCATGTATTGATATAAGCCAAAAACAAAATGCTCAGTAGTCATGGTTTTGCCGAAAAAATATGTTTTAGAATTTACTCACGAAATTATTGCACAGGGTATTTTAAATTTGGATAAAAAACAACCCTTCAATTAACCCTGTATAATAAGCCAAATACAAAAGTTTAAAAAAAAAGCTAAGTTTGCAAATTAAAGTAGATATACTTATACGAGCCCTAACAACTATATGTTGGAACAAGTAGTTACCTTGCAAATAAAATGCCAGTTTACCAGAAATTATTTTATTTATTTTTTTTAATTGTAAATTTATATTTAACAACATTTTTTATGATGTATGGAATTATTTTTACGGTTTAATTATATATTTTATGTTGATTACTACTTAATTAATTGTTTGATAATCGAAAAATGCTAACAACTAAATATTGGAACAAGTGGCTTTTAACAAATTAAAATAACAATTACGCCCTTAGGTCGAATAACAGCCTGAACTATATTAGGCACTGTACCAACTAGGCCGTCACAGAATTTAGGGGTGAAACTATCCCATATTTCTTGCAATTTAGCACGTAATTGTGGTAAAGTACGCTGACGATCATTTCTTATATTAGGCGTTGTTTCATTTTGTGCCAATGTGTCTAATGGATTAAGATCCGGGCTGCTAGAGGGATGTGACAAAACTTTAATATCATATTCTCCCATCCATTTTTTGGTAGATTTAAGATAAGAAAAATAAAATCTTCGGATGGATGTAACTTTGCAGCACTTGGTAAAAGCAAATGTTTCAAGGATATCTTGATATTTGGCTGCGTTTACTGTGCCTTCAATAAAGTGTAAAGTTCCCAATCCTTTGGCCGACATACAACTCCATACCATGATGCCTTGTGGAAACTTTACAGTTCTTTTGAGACAATCATTATGGAAGGCTTCTGTTTTTTCCCGAATCACACGCTTTCGGTAATCTCCCACACATACATCAAATCTGCTTTCGTCGCAATAGATAACTTTGTCCCAGTTATGTCCACGAAAGTTTTTATTTGTCCCAAATGTAACGATTCCTTTTTTGAGTTTCCGTCAACAATGGTTTTTCTTTGGCCTACTCATATAAGTAAAAAAATTACTCGTATGTTTCATTTCAAAGCCCCCTTCGTGTCAGGTTGATAAAACTCAAGAAACACGAGGAAAAGCAAAACATGTTCCATGTTTCAATTATATTTAATTGTCAGCATTTTTCGATTTTTAAACAATTAATTAAATAATAATCAACATAAAATATATACCGTATGATCGAAAAAAAATGGCGTCCAGTTGGCTTGGAAACGACGATCGACATTTCCCATATAATTTTACATATAAAATGACAGCGATCTTCGTGTCATAGCCATCGTTGACGCCGTTTTTATTCGATCATACGGTTTAATTAAACCGTAAAAATAATTCCATATATCATAAAAAATATTCTTAATTCCAAATCTACAATTAAAAAAAAAAATAAAATAAATAATTTCGGTAAATTGGCATTTTATTTGCAAAGTAACTGCTTGTTCCAACATATAGTTGTTAGGGCTCGTATACAGTTTGCTAAAAAGTTCATAGAAATAGGAATAAAAATAAAAAATATAATACTTTCTTGTCGAAAAAAATTTCCTTTGCGTTTTTTTTGCATCTCAGTGTAGATTTTATGTATTTCTTTATTATTTTCCGTATAATCTCAAAATAGCACAGTCAATATAAAACAAATATTATAACAGAGGAAAACCTTGAGGAAAACCAAAAATAACAGATAAGACAATTTACCTGTTAATTAAAATGACAAACACAACTGTCACTGTCGTGTATCTACCTTTATTCTCGTTAGATAGAGACACACTATTCTACCTTTAAATTAAAATGAACGGCAATTATCATTAGTATCATAATAATAAATTCTTTCACAGGATAGACTATATACGTTATTTTTACGTAAATAATTCATTAACGCGATATGTCCCTAATTATGGGTGACGTCCGCATTTGACATATGCAGATATGTAAAAAAATCTAAGAGCTAACCAAACTTTTTCATGTTTTTATTTAATGTTTTATGCACTATGGTAATAGTGCTAATAGTTTAATATTTAATAATAATCAACAGCAGAAATGGCATTAACAGAAGCTGAGAAGCGACCAGAAAAGAAAGAGAAGCCTCTTACTAAAGTCGTAATTCGTAGACTTCCTCCGACAATGACACAAGAACAGTTCTTAAATCAAGTATCTCCAGTGCCCGATTACAATTATCTTTACTATGTTAAGGGAGACATGACATTGGGTGAAAATGCTTTTGCTAGAGCCTACATAAACTTTGTATGTCCAGAAGATGTGTACAGCTTTAAGGAGAGATTTGATAACTATGTATTTGTGGATACCAAAGGTCCACGAATATGCTGCTGTTGTTGAATTTGCTCCATTTCAAAAGATTCCTAAGAAACAGGGGTAAAATAGAATGGATCCGAAATGTAACACGATCGAATCAGATTCTTATTATTTGGATTTTGTGGCTATACTAAGTAAACCAGTTGAGCAAGATGAAAAACCTGAATATACACTACAATTAAATGAAAGAAGTTTAAGAGAAGAAAGATACTACTACACCATTGTTAGAGTATATTAAAAATAAAAGAGCTCATCGTTTGAAGATAAGAGAAGTGAGAAGAGAAGAACGGGAAAGAAGAAAAGGAGTTTGAAAAAAGAAAAGATTATAAATATGAAGGAAAGGTATTACGATGAGAAAAAATATGATGAAAGATCTCCAGCTAAAGTAAAATAGATTCCAGCAATCTAAACCAAGAAATGAACCAAGTAATGATAAAAGTAAGTTTGATAATCCCGATGACAAAATTGAGAAATCTCCAATAGAAAAAGCTTCTGGAATTAAACCCAAAGAAAGAAGTTTGAGGATAGAAAAAGAGAGAAAAGAAATCAAACCAAGATTTCCTAAAAAAGAATATGTTGATAACAGAGATTTTAAGCGTGAAGATTATTCTCATAGAGAATACAGATCTAAACATTATGATGACTACAAGAGAAGATAGCAAAACTTTTCCAAAGAAAGTAAAGAAGTACAGAAAAAGAGAAGAAAGAGAATGGAAGCACAAAAAGCTGAATTAAAAAAGCAGGAACAAAAGAAAAAAGAATCTAAAGATGTACCACCAAAAATCCAGGGTTCTTCAGATAATCTTTCTAATAATGAAAAAATAGACACTCCTGAGCCTAAAGATTGTGAAGAAGAACCAAAGTCGCTACAAAAAGAAGCAAATTTAGAGAAAGAAAAGGACAAAGATGATAAATTAAAGGATTTAGATAGAGGTGAAAGTAACTCAAGAAGAATTCGAAATAAAGATCGTCCTACAATTCCACTTTATAGGCCAGGGATGCTATCAAGAAGAAAACAAAATGATGATGAAGTAGTGATAAAGCCTGAGGATAAAAAAGATTAGTAATTTTGATATATTCTTTATTCAGTGTTCAATAATTAATGTATAATATTATACTGATAAATAAATATACTACTGACTATTACATTTTTTCTGTAGTAGATAATTTGAACTTATTTTATTTATCCCACATCACAGACAAATTGATGCGATTGATCTGACTCACAGATCTGACTGTTTTGGACTGTTCATAAACTCTGATTTGTAGGCAACCCAATATACGGTTTCCCTTTCCTTTCTTAAACTTTAACCTCATTTTTCTGGGTCTTTTTTCATCTTTCCATGCATCTTTCATCTGTTTTTCTCTGATTATAAGGGAGGTTTCTTTGAATAAAAAGGTTTTAAATTTTAAATGTTTTTACAAAAACTTAAATCATGTAGATCACTAAAGAAATATGCCTGTCGATATCTTAAAAGTGAAAATGTGAAACACAGTAAACCACCATGGAAAATATTATTTTTTGGAAGTGACAATTTTTCACTTTATAGTTTAAAAACTTTATACAGAGAACAGTAAGTAAGTACTGATAATGTTAAAAAATATTAAGCATATCGTTAGCTTTTTAGCCAGAATAATAACAGTATCATAAGTATTTTAAAAGTAGTCACTAATTCAAATAAAAACCCAATATGGAAGTTTGCCGAGAAACATGATTTAAATATACAGAAATGGCCTCCAGATTTAATACAAAATGAATATGATTTAGGTGTAGTTGTATCATTCGGGCACTTAATTCCAGAAAATATAATAAATAAGTTCCCCTTGTAGGTGAATCTAAAAAATATTGATGTAAATATGGCATTATAAAGATATTTTTTCAGGGGTATGTTAAATGTTCATGCCAGTTTGTTACCTAGATGGCGAGGGGCAGCGCCTATAATTTATGCTCTAGCTAATGGTGATAAGGAAACTGGTATAACAATAATGAACATTAAACCAAAACATTTTGATATAGGAGATATTGTGCTACAAAAGAAGATTAATATTAGTGATGAGACAAAAATGCCAGAATTACATGAACGACTAGGAAAATTGGGAGCCTCTTGTTTACTCAATACATTAAATAACTTAGAAGAATATTTATCAAATAGCACACCTCAGCCTGCTGAAGGTGTTACATATGGTATATATTTTGATTACCTAAATAAAAACAATTTGCAGGGTGTCGTAGTGTTTTGAAAAAGCTCCATATCAAGTTTTTTTACCAATTTTAAATATTTTTGTAAAATATCATATGATCGAAAAAGAACGGCGTCAGCGATGGCTATGAAATGAAGAGCACTGTCATTTTATATGCAAAATCAAAGAATATACCTAGCTAGAAATGTAAAATTATGTGGGGAATGTCATTGATCGTCATTTCAAAGCCAACTGAACGCCGTTTCTTTTCGATTATACAGTATGTGGGATATGATATGAGGATTGAGGACACATTTTAAAAATATTTTCATTGATATAGGGTCAGTGCACTGGTTATCCGGCCAGCACTGGTCCTCGGCCTTTTTAGGATTTAAAGCTAAATATTAGTTAATTTAATCGCCGTTTATCCAGTCCAAATGGTAAAATAGATTCATGTATCATTTATCTATCGAAAGTAGTAGGGGTTAAGATGGAGCTGCAACTAATAAGCGTGCAAAAAAGCCACAGTTCTTGGACGCGCAACAGAACAACATAGGTAGTGTTTCAAATGTAAATGTGCTTACTAGTGTGAAGCTACAAAATAGTAAATATTTTAATATTTTTTTACTCTAGGTACTTGTAATGTATTATATATTGTAATGTATTATTATATATGATGGGGGAAGGGTAAAAACATGTAAATATATGTCAAAACTAAGCAAAAATTGGGTTTTTAGTTAAAATTTTCAGGGGCCGCAAACCAGTAATTAAAAAACACGCTCTTTTAGTTCTCGGCCAACATGGCCGAGAGTCAGTATAAAAAGTTATTTTTCAATCTTAAAAAGAACTATAAAAAAACATATTTTGTCTTGTGTTTGTTATTTTTTTTTATTTACTTATATTATTGCTTTTTAATTATTAGATTGCGGCCGCTAAATTAATTCGAATATAATATATAATTTAATCAAAAATTGTTTAAAAATAGTGACCGAGAACTAGCCTTCCTCGGCCACCATGAAAAATAGTGTGGCCGAGAACCAAAATCATTGTAGATTTCGGTTCTCGGCCGCTAACCAACTCTAATCCTTTTGATTTTTTTCAATGGCTAGGGAAACTAGGAGAAATAAAACCCAGGGTAATAAAACCGTCTTGATACGACCTAAAGTATCAAGGATTAAAAGGAGGATGTACCAATGCACAGAGGAAGATCTCAAGAATGCTCTGCGTGAGATCCGGGAAAAGAAAGTGAAAATAAGGGAGGCCAGTCGAAGATTTAATGTACCAAGGGCGACGATCCAGAATAGAATCAAAGGAAGAGTACCCGATCTTCTGAGGAAGCCCGATTTATGTTCAACGCCGAAGGAAAATTTGCTCCTCCACTTCTGTTATTCCCTTATGTGCGACTTCCCAGGGCTGTTATTGCCAATATGTCGAGCGGTTGGATGTTAGGAATGTCAGAAAGAGGATGGATGACATCTGACGTATTTTTTTGAGTTTATCAATAATGATTTTAACAAATGGCTGATTACAGAAAATATTCCGAGGCCTTTTATCCTGTTTGTGGTTGGGCATAAATCCCATCTCACTATGACAATTAGTGAGTGGTGCCACAATAATGAAATAATTTTATATGCTCTTCCACCTAACATCACCCACATGCTTCAGCCTGCTGACGTTAGCGTCTTCAAACCGATGAAATCGGAATGGAAAAAACAGTTTTTAAGTGGCAGAACAAACCCGAAAATCTAAATTGCTGGGTGACAAAAATTACAATTCTCTGACGTAGGTTTTGACGAAATTTTATCAAAATCTTGGTTGGCATTTAAGAATTCTGTAAAGAATAGCTTCAGAAAATCAGATACCTATGGTTATAGGTATTTAACCGGTACCTAATGTTTATAGTTACTTATTTGTTATAGTTTATTTAGGTTTTAAGGAGCCTATAGCTATTATTGTATTACTAATATTCCTGCCATACATACATATAAGTTTTTTAATTAAAGTTTTATTGATACCTTCATAAATTAATTGATTCTTAATTAGGTACGCAGAATCATAGTAAGGTATCCTACCTATATTCTAGGTATACCTACATGGCCGAGAACCAATACAAAATTGGCCGAGAACTGTGAGTGGTGGCTAAGAACCAGTAAAATAGCACTTTTTTCGGTTATTATTGTTTTTTACTAAAGTTTTGAAAATAAAATTAAAAAAATCCATAATTATTAAACACTTACCAAACAGATTTTTTGTATTGGGCAAATTATGATTTAAAATCTCCTTCCATATCTAATCTGCTCTCAAACTCAAAGTTTCCGTTAAAAGGCCGAGAACCAATGCATTGACCCTACTGTTAGATTAATATATTTTTAAAATGACTAATATTGATAATTAGTTAAGGATATCTGAATTATTAATTATACAATGAATCCCTAATTTATTATCCTCATGGAGTTGTCATAATAATAATTGCTAAAAATGAGAAAATTAATATGTAAATATTAATTATTGTGGCTATTAAATTCCAGATGAGTGTGGCACCTTTGGTGTTACAACAGCAAAATAAAAATTAATTCAACACAATACATCAAACACTTTGATTTTGCACTGGATGCGTTTCTAATCATGTTAGCATCATCAGCAGATTGGAACTTTTGGTGTTACAACAGATCTAGTGAATTAGTGTTTTATTTGTGGCTATAAAAATTATAAATCAAGTCCTATTTGAAATAGTAGAGAACAATAAATCTAAAAAACATCTATTGTTGACTCACATGTATACAATAATAGATGTATGTGTTATATCTGTATATACCATGCAATATAGTGTATTTTAGAGTTGTGTCTAACCCCAGCAAGGCAACTATTAAGATACATTCAGGCTGAGAGCGTCGAGCGTCGCGTCCGCCCTATTGAAATCGAACCCCGACGATCAGCGGGCGCTAGCGCAATGCCAAACTCGACGCTGTCTGCCTGAACGGTCTTATTTAAGTTAAGTGAATTGATTCCATTTCGACACGCGAACGCGACTCAAACGCGAAGCGACGCTCGACGCTCTCAACCTGAATGTGTACTCTTTAGACTTGACCGACTACGTTAGTTGACAAAAGCGGATGCAGAACAGCTGTGGCGTACTATGTAATTTATTACAAACAAATAAAGAAAATCAATGAATATCTAAAAACAAATAGAAATTAGTAAAACCAACCAACCCCACCAAATAAACAACTAACCAATGAATTAACACCCTCCAAATAACCACGCTAACTAAAGCTTAATAGTTGCCTTGCTGGGGTTAGACGCAAAATATTTTAGTACACTTTAGTTTTGTAAGATTATTACTATATGATCGAAAAATGGTGTCAAAGGATATGAAACAATATCGCTGTCATTTTATATGTGTAAAATTCTTTTGGGGGATGTCGTCGATCGTCATTTCCAAGCCAACTGACGCCGTTTTTTTTCGATCATACGGTAATATACTATATTTAGTATTTTATAATTTAGGGAGTTTCAAATGTACAGGAAATTAATCTGAAAACGGCCATATTTTAAACACCACTCTGTATAAATAATCCCTTATTTCGCCACTGAAACAGAACTCCAAAAAATAAGTTATTTTTTGTAAAATACCCCTCTGGCACTGCCGTCTCTAATCACTGTGTCTCTATAGACAGGATGGTATTTTTGGAATGAGAGTTCTATGACAATTCAATTGAGCAAAAAATATACAGCATTCAATTCAAAAAACCATAACTTTAATGTTAAAATATATTTGAATGGCTCTATATATTTACAAAAATATTTTTAAAAAGTAGCAAAAAATTTCCCCGAAAATTTGAAGTATAAATCCTGGTAGAGGTCTTTTTCACAACACTTGTTCACCCTGTATATTTATTTATTTAATAGTTTGTGTTAAAATTTTATTTTGTTACAGTAATTTAGATTTAATTTCGTTACCCCATTTCAGCACCAAAAATCTACAATTTGAATTTGCAAAACTAAGTGGGACCAACACAGATGCCCATAATCTACACAGAGCTCTTGACAGTCTTCGTCATAACTTGTTTACAAGCGTAGCATCCAGCTCTGTAAAATTAATAGACATTGAGATATGTAAGTCAAATGCAAAGTGTATAGCCCCAGGAAGTGTAACATACGATAAACCTAGTCAAACCCTACGGGTTGAGTGTGCAAATGGAACATTTATAAGTGTGAAAAGAATAAGTGTTTTAGGGAAAAAAGTTATGACTGCTTCAGAGTTTAATAATGGTTATCTTAAATATGCAGTAAAATTTGTTGTTTTAAATAAATTGTCTATTTTATATGAATAGTTTATCAATTTTATTAATTAACTTAAAGCAGTTATAGCTAACCAGTGAAGTAACAGGTTCCCATATTTAAGGTACTAAGGACTTGTTCTTAATGGTTTTTATAAATGTTGAGTGCACTGTGAAATGTGTATAGTAGCATCACAATTATACAGATTATAATCTTTGTTTTCTTTATTGATTTCGTGGTTTCCAATTTTCCGGAATCGGGCACTAGTTAGGTTACTAGTTTGCGCACATAGTACGCCCACTTATGGCCTCTAAAATTGTGCACAGCGCTGACCAGCACAGTTATTAGAGAGATATCGGAAAACCGAATAGCGTCATCCAGTATTTACGCGTACCTTATGGTTACGATATACGCGACTAAATTTTTAACCCAACACCCGCTAATAACGTTACCGCCTGACGTAATTTGCGGATCAATTCACCAAGCGCTCTTTCTAAATAACCTTTGATAACGTTTAAAGAATTGCTTAAATGGGCATGTGTTGCTTAAATGTTGCTTGTTGCCCTAAACCCACTGGCAGACGTGGAAATTCTTCCTCCAGCACTGGAAATAGCACTTTAGCCCTTTAGTTTTTAAAATACCTAGTAAACAAAACAATTTCAAGTTTTAAATTCAAAGTTAGGATAAGTTTAAATAGCGGACGCGACGCGATCAGAATTCTTTTCGATTCGATAACTATAAATGAAGAGTTAATACCACCTCATGTAAAGGAAATAACACCTGGCCTTATTAACGTCCATGCACGCTATTCGCTTTAGCGATATCTCTCTATTACGCAGTTTATTGTTATTTACGCGAGTTTATTTTTGCGTACAGGAAATCTGACTCGTTTGCACATCGTCATAAAAACAATTTTCGTACCACGAATTAAAGACAAGATTTTATCTGTATACTTATAGGATACCTAATCTGTGGTAGCATTGACACTCAAAATCTTGTTATAACTTTAAAAAGAAGTGTTTTTTATCACACCAAAGCAGACATCAATGTCAAAGTGTTTCAAAAAGCTCCATATGGGATTTTATGTTTCAGATTTTTACTCTTACTTTTTTTTATAATATATGCGGATAATGGTAGCATACGGTTTAAGAATATTTTTGTCTATATATACAGGCTGATTCTAATATAGATATGTACAAACTAAGGTAGGTATAGATGTTATACCAATTAAACTTTAGTTACGTAATCGAGGGGCGCGATTTTAAATTTATTTTTTGACAACAATGGACATATTCGGCGCCGACTGACTAACTGGAATTCAAATTTACCGTTGGGGATTCCGGTGGTAGCTCTGCTGTAAAAATGTCAAGTGCCACATTTGACTATTTATCATATGCTGACATATCCTATGTCAAAAGTTGAGATAGGATATGTCATTCTACTCAAGTGAAATATCAAATAAAGAATATACCGAGGGTGCCATTTAAAAATCAAAAGTTGTAGTCCATTTCCGGTGAAACAGAAAGTGATCAAAAACAGTTGAATAAGTTAAACAATAGTAATTTATGCCATATACTAACGCACCAAATCTTGAGAGAACTTTAAATAGCAGCAGATGTAGTGTAAAAATGGTCATATTACTCATATTTGAAAACAACTCGATATAGAACATAACATGGTATTTTTAGATAGAATTTAATTAGCAAAATCCACCGAGCTGAAATATACTAGCCTTGGTTGCTTTATATTTGTGGCCTGTATTTTACTTCTGAGGAATTTATTGTTTCCAATGGATTCAAAAAGGATGTTCCTTAGCCCCTCTACTCTTTAAGATATATGTCAAAGAGGCTCTAAAAAAGTGGAAAAGAAGAAGTAGACCGAGATGATGCTAGCTACATGCCGAGAGTGCTTGAAAACGAGTTGGAACAGTTTGGATTGATTGTAAATATGAAGAAGACCGAATACATGTCTGTAGGAAACGACGATCATAGTGATTTTGATATTGGTATGGGCAAAACAATAAAACACTGCTCCAAATTTAAATACCTTGGAGTAACTCTTTCCTCAGATGGCAAAAGTAATGAGGATATATCCAATAAAATTACAGGGAGGAAGAATAATTAAGGAACTAAACTCTCTTCTTTGGAGCGATAGAATATCAAGAAAAACGAAAGAAGCATGATGGCTGCTTTCTATCTTTGAATCTGGTTGTACCTACGGATCGGAGACGTGGGAACTCACAGGAGAAACAAAAAATTTTTTATATTATTTGCATTTGAAATGGACTATTGGAGGCGTAGCAACAGAACATCTCCCCTAGAACATGCAAGAAATGTTTGTATAAGAGATGAGATGCAAGTAAATGGTACTATCTTGGATACCATGGATTGCCCACCTTCAAAGAATGGAAGATTTAAGAATACTTAAGAGAGTATGGGACTGGATCCTATACCAGTAGAGTACCTATATCCTCGTATTCCAGTCGAGAGAAGAAAACCTCCTGGTTTTCTTCTCTCTACTGGAATAGGAGGAAGACCAGCAAGAACATGGAAGGAAAAAGATGGGATGATGTACATGAAGCCACGCTTGAAAGACACCTAAGAAGTGGTGACTAGTGGGACCGGAATTTATGAAAGTCGAGGACCGGGAAACGACACTAGTCTACTAAATACCCGCATGTATATGATTATGTATAACTAACAACTATAATTGCTTGTTTTGGTAGTTCTGCCAACGACACAACGTAGTTCTGAGACCGATACTTTAATCTATTACAGCTGTAGTAAAATGAGTAACTAATTGTGGAAATTAAAGATCCAACCCTAGATGCAATAATTTTCGTAAACGCTTTTTTGGGCGGATTGAAATTTTGACGCAAAATCTGGCAATACCGCATAGAAAATATATCCAACCCAAATTTTCTCTTTTAATATCTCATTTTCATTATGCTGTCTCCATCATTGTCTTACACGTTAAAATCCAGACCACGCATCTACCATGACCAAATCTGTATGTATAGTAGAGTACGTTTGAACGATGGTTGTACAGCCTGTACTACGTACTTATTTTTTCAAACAGCTGACTTGATCATAGAACTTTGTGATCATATGGATATTTGAAATAAAACAAAAAAATATAATATAATCTTCAGGTATTTATTAAGGTTAAAGTTTTATGTTTTAACAATTTCTTCCGTAAATTACAACCCAATAGAAGACAATAAAGAACAATATTTTACAACATTAATAAATCATATTTTAAATCAACACCGTTAAAACGTGCATTGCTTTAACGAAATTATGACAATTTGATCAAAATTATTCCCTAAAAATTTATTGAATCTTTTATTTTCAGTATATCTTTTCTGTTATCATAACAATAAAAATTAAATGTTATGAACATGAGAATAATAAATAAGTAACTGCTCAAAAATTACTTTCACACTATTTCACTTTGTTTTAATCAAAAGTGAAAGTTTAAATCTATATAAACTTTATATTATAAATTATACTAAGAAAATAATTTGACTAGTGAACTGTGTTGTAAGGCAATTGAAACACGAATAGAAAATTTTAGGGAGTTCTATATGCTAATCCAACACCATTAGCATACCCGCAACCAATCAGAAATAAGTAGATTTAGTAATTATATTGCACTAGATAGGTAAGTGGAACATTATTGCAAAACATTACTTAACATTTTCTCATAAGTAATTATAAAATTATTTCTGATCTTTTTGCTAAAAAACGAAACTACAAACATTTGTCTAAATCTTCTAAAAATTGTGTAGTTTTAATAATGTGAAATATTGCAACTTTAAATTATACCCTATATTTCTTTTTAAATTTATTACAAGAAATGTATTAACTAGGCAACCATACTAATCAGCCCCTTCAACCCTGTAAAATAAAGAAGATATTAAAAAGTATGCAAAAGAAAAAGTCAATGCCATGAAAATACGGTATGATCGAAAAAAAAAACGACGTTAGAATAGGTGTACAGATAAGTAAAGTTTAAGCTGTACAGGGTGGGTCAAATTGACACTTAAAGGGAAATACTCTTCTATAGGGAGATAGACGAAAACTAATATCGGTGTGTCTGAGCTGAATTTTAAAAAAATATATGATGATAAAAACGATATCTTTTACCGTTTCGGAGTTACGGGTGTTTTCAAAATGTCTATTTTCAACAAATCGCTGTAACTTTTTGCTACAGAAAATTTTATATTTTTACAAAACATTTCCACAGAAACTTTTTACGTAGAATTTAATAGTTTAAGTATAATTTTATTTGGGACACCCTGCATGTTTTTCATTAACTGAGAATAACTTAAAATTACTCTTTCCAAAAAAATATAGCACAATTTGATGTTTTGTTATAGTCCTTTGAAATACAGAATTTAAAATATAATAGGTGTCCTTACTAAAAATCAAATCACATAGCATAACTCGAATTCAAATCTTATATCTAGGACTACCTTGACGTCGTTTTCATTCGATCACAGGGTATTAGTGTCAAGTGAACATATGATAAGCGAGTGAAGTGAGTTAAACCAATGCATTTAATGTAAATTAATAAAATGGTAATGTAAGTTAAAAAAATATGAAATTTAAAATTAATAATTGAATAACAATACTGCCACCGTACAATACAACATAGAATGTAGTTACTGCGGAATATTGGTTGATATGTTGATTATTTGCATTTGACAAATAAATCAATTTTATAGGTCGGATTCAACAGAAATAAAATAAAAATAAAATGGATATAAAATAAATGGATTTTTTTTTGGATAAACTTATTTCTTCTTCTATTGCGTTGTTTGGTTTATACAGTTTTTCTCAGAAGACAATATATTGTGTAACACAACTATGGAAATGCGCACGTGTATATTGTAGTCTGTTTGATTTCTCTAGTTAGTAACATCTACAAATTAGAAATTCTTATTTCTTACTTTATTTTATTTTACTGTTTGAATCCACCTAAAATTATAGTACATATCCTAAGCATACATTGAGATTAGTGGAATACTTAGTATCAGAACAAAATGCAT